GGAGTTGACATATGGAGAGCCTGGCAGGAATTTGCAGGATATTGAGTTGACTCCATCTATTCTTCCACGCAATGGTTGCATCTTCATTTTGTGAGGCATTGTTCTGACCTTTGAACAGGAAGAACAGGAAGGCACTGAGGTTGCAAATAATGAACTTGAACTGAACAAGAATGATAAACACTGACTCAATCCTCTTCTTTACTAGCAGAAGCCGATGGATTTAGGACTAATTCTGGGGAATTTAAGAAGTGATTTACAGTAGCTGTAGCAGCGGGCACAAGATGTACGGTATGGGGAAGCAATATCTGAACTAAGGAAGAATTGACTTGCTTAAAAAAAATAACAGTTAAAAATCTGATGAATTAGCTGTATGGAAAATCTTGCAAAAGAGGCCTTAATGCATATACACAACATGAAATTTTAAAACACTAAGTGGAACCTGGAGCTGTTGCAGAATTTAATGTGTAAAGTTTTATTTTTAGTATTTCCATTTTAACCAAGACTCTGACAGCACAGCACATAAACCGCAGAAAACACTGGGCCATTGTAAGCCTCCAAATATCTTTAGGCATGGTTAACATTTTATGATTGCTGGCTTGGAGTAGTGCAAGTAGCTTCAGTACCAGTGAGCCTAAGTGCTTTTGTTATTTGTATCAGTTCAGCAAAGAGGAACCAGTTTTTAGAAGTAGTTCAGGTGAGGTGGGACCCCATTGCAACTTTGCATCATCAAACTTGAGGTTGTTAATTGCATTATGCACGGAACATTTAACAACATTCTGTTAACCAAGCAGAAGCCTCTGAAAAAGAAGAAACTGCATTTATTGGCTCGCTGATTCAATTTGTTAAAATGATGAATTTGTAATTAACTAGTCAAGATGGTTTTTCATAAAGTAGATTTTAGCTACTAATTTTAATGTTACTCAGGCTTTGACTGCTATGAAATCATTTTTTAAAAAGGCAATTTCATTTCAGAAATATCCTAGAGAAACAATGTCTGAATTATATTATGGTGAAATTAAAGGGCAGCTGAAAGAATAAGAGGAACGTTTTAGTTAGCCAATAATAAAACTACTTACAAATAAAATGATCTTAATTTCTAATATCTGAAAAGATGCTGGCAGACTGCTACAGCTCCATCGTAAAACCAAAACATTGCAAAAAGTCCTAAATTCATTTCCTTCTTTTTGAATAATTTTATTAAAAGTATTTTTGAAAAAAGATTTAAAAACTAATACAGGTAGTCCTCGAGTTATGACCCCAATTGAGCCCAACATTTATGTTTCTAAGTGAAACATTTGTTAAGTGAGTTTGCCCCATTTTGCAACTTTTTCTTGCCATAGTTGTTAAGTGAATCATGGCAGTTAAGTTAGTTATACGGTTGTTAAGTGAACCCGGATTCCCCATATGATCCCCACTGGTTGCAAAAGGGGATCACATGACCCCAGGACACAGCAACCGTCACAAATGCGAATCAGTTGCCGAGCATATGAATTTTGATCATGTGACCATGGGGATGCTACAGCGGTCGTAAGTGTAAGAAACAGTCATAAATCACTTTCTTCAGTGCTGTTGTAGTTTTGCACAGTCACTAAATGAACTGTTGTAAGTTGGGGACTACCTCTACAGGGCTAATAAAAAGAAATTTCTTTTTATCAGCCTGTACAAATAGTCTCCAACTTACAAAGAGAAAGTTAAAAGTGAAAGGAAGGGAGGGAGGAAGGGTTGATAAAATATAAAGAAGAGGCTTCTTTGTGTATTTTTTAAAATTATTATTCTAAATTCCTTATCTTTCTAACTAAAACCGAGAGATATTTTAAACTGAAACCCTGAAATACCATTCATGGTAATGCTGACAGCATTAGGCTAGAATGGATCAAAGGTCTGGCAAGGCATCTTTCTAAATTTCTTCGTCATGCCTTTCAGCTGCCCATGGAAATAGTTCTGCAGAAACTTTTCATATTGGGTGGCATGCACGTAAAGCAAATAAGTAAATAAATGAATGAATGCCCCCATCCTTATAACCCACATAACTGGGGTTGCCAAAACTTCTAAAGAAGTTTCATCTGGTGTGTAAAAAAACAACAACGTAGCATAGGGGAGACTACTTTGGTTTACCATTGAAGTTGCAGGAGATAAAGAGAACTTCCCATAATAGAAGAAATGCCTGGAGCAGCTATGTCCTTTGTAAAGTGTTGCTATGTTTGCAGGCTGGAGAGAAAGAGAGAACCTCAGGTTAATCATCTTTTGAGATAACATGACATGACTCAGTCAAGGAACAGTACCCACAATTACGTTTTAGGCCTAATACTGTAGGAGGCTGTTCTTGCCTGTAGCATCTTTGAATTATCTATTTAAGGATGTCATATGTATGAACTTTGTAAATACTACTCACATTGAGGAAGAACTTGTGGCAATCAATCAGTCTGCAAAAGCAGAGTGCATTTCGTCTAGTCAGCCCAACAACTCTTGCAGATTTGTTATTAATATTTTTAATCAGGCTTTTCCCATTCGCGTTACCCCACTTATGCCCAGGTCCCTTGTCATCACCCACAATGTGACTTTGAATTTTAGGAAGAGCCCTTCTATTCTATCACCTCTTATTATGTTCGACTGCACAGTATCAGCAGTGGGGTCCTTCCAAGTTTTGGGGTTCTATAATCTCTCAAGACTTGAAATGGATACCTAATGTTAGAACGATCATCAAAAAGGGACAAAAAAGAATGTTCTTCTTGAGTCAACTTAGGTAATTTAGACTGTCTCAGGAGCCGTTGATAAAGTTCTGCAGAGAATTATTGAGTCTGTCATTTGTACTTCTATAACTGTCTGGTTTGGTACAGCAACCTGACAGGACAAGTACAGACTTCAACAGATAGTTAGGACTGCAGAAAGAACAATTGCAACCAGCCTGCTTTCCATTGAGGACCTGTATATTCCATGAGTCAGAAGGACAGCTGAGAAAATATCTACAAACCCCTCACATCCTGAACATAAACTGCTTCAACTCTTCCCCTTGGGATGTTGCTATAGGCCATTACATGCCAAAACAACTAGACACAGAGACAGTCCCCCCCCCCCCCCCGTGCTATCATTCTGCAGAACACCTAATCCTCACAGCATTGTCTTATGTCTGAGTGTATTTACCCATATTATATGACTATAGTATTATTATCCTTCTCATCTTCTCTACTACCCCTTCTTATTGGTATCATTGCTATGATTATTATTGCTCTGTTGCTTTGCCATGTACATTGAGAGCTTTTGCACAGGAAACAATTTCCTTGTGTATCTAATCACACTTGGCCAAATAAAGCTATTCTATTCTATTCTGTTCTGTTCTGTTCTGTTCTATTCTATTCTATATGCAGTCCATAAAAGTTATAGATTTTATTGATGGATTTTCTTATTTGCAGATGGATGTCATTGTACACAAAATAGCTGGTTTTTTAACTCGGAGAACCCCCTTATTGTAGGTCACAGTTATGTCAGATTGGGCACGCCCTAATACAGAGTTTGACTAGCATGGGTAAAGATAAGGAATTAAGTTGTTTTGAAGTAAATTCTTCGACAATCACAAAACCTGATATTCCCTCCAGCTTTGTACTGGATGTTCTGACCTAGCAGTAATTTTCTAAGGTCTCAACATTAACCATGAGTTGTTTTTAACTGGGCAAACTTGGGAATGAACCTTCAAAGCAAACTGAATACTGTGTGCAATGCTTTTCCCATAAAAGGAGAAGCATACTCTTGCTCCTGGAAATAGGGTTATGATACTGTACTGCCACAGCATTTCAGGACGAACAGTGTAGCAGAAATTGCAAAACCTGTGCTTGCTGTGCTGTTATCCCACTTTGCCATGTATTCAGTCTGCAAATATAATAGTCTGAGCTCAGCCATCCAGCCTTTTAAAAATACCCATGTGGGTAGAATTGTAGTGTTTTATAATCGGTGAGCCTTTGGAAACAAACTTTTCCAGTTTTCTAGGACATCATTTATGTACCACTTTTTTAAAACCAGAATTATGAGTATTTTAACCAATTCTGCTAAGCCTCTGGCTTGGGGTTTGAAACTTTTTTGCTGCCAAAGCCAACTGCAGGAAACCATTGGAGCCTTTGAACAAATTTGATGGCTTGCACTTCCTCAAAGGAAGGGCTGAAGAACGTAAGAGCCTCATGAGCTGAATTGTTTTATAGCCTTAACAAATAAACATGTCAATGAGAGATCCCACATTGATCCGATCTCATAAAAATATTAGCAAAGCAAAGAGAAGATTTAAAGATGAGGATTCAGATGAGAAATCATATACTGGAAAAAATAATTCATCCCCTTGTTTGTGCCAATAAAAACTGCCCCCCCCCCTTTTTTAGATAGATGCCGCATGAGACTTTTAATGCAGAAACTTCTACATTCTGTGGAATGCAGAAAAATAGAAAAGGCAGAGATACAGGGATTTTGTGATAAACAAGAGATACTGTAAGTAGTTGCTGGCAAAATTGGAGCAGAAAGAGAAGTGGTACTGGAGAGAGAAAAAGAGGATGAACAGAGAGTTTGGGGGTGTGATATCTCCTGAGGATGAAGGAACCAAAGCAGAAGGACTATGGGAGAGAGTTGTTGAGGGCAACTAGGTGAGGTTGAACTTAGAAATGGCAGAAAATGGACTAACTGGAAAATACAGAGTTAAAATTTTAGCAAACTCTTTTACCCAGTTATACAGTAAGGCCCCCTTTGACCTAATTCATGTTTAAAAGTGGTTTGGATGATTTGTATTTGCACTCAACATTAACTTCCTCTCTATCCTTTAGAATTGAACTTGGTCATTAACTGGGGAGCCTGGCCAGCTTCCAGGGATTCCTGACCTTTTGGATCTCCTTCCACAGCTACAGGAGGGAAGAGGGATGTAGGAAAATTGTATGGGAACTTGAAAGTTTGTTTTATAAATATGCAAGGAAGTTTTACATTTGAACCTGGCGTTTATGCTTTCTTTGTTTTTCTTCTCTGTGCAGCCATCCACTGAGGAGAGCCCTGCAAAACATGTAGATACCCCGGTAAGTTTCTCTCTTAGAGTTTGTAGTGATTGACATTACATCTCTTCTGTTCCATGTCAAGTAGTTCCCCATCTAATTCTCTGCAATGACATTAGTCTTTCTGGCTATGAGAGCTGCCCAAATCCCTGGTTCGTACAGCTATTTCAGCTTTTCCTTTGCGTTATCATGTTTCTAACCCATTTAGCAACAAAACTGCATCTTATTTTCCAGCTGAACTGAACGATGATGCTGGAGATTGTCCCTAAGGCCTGTCAACAATAGTGCAGCTCTTTGGTCTAGCATCAGGAGTGAAACATTAGTGCTAAACAATTTGCAAATGATATGACTTAGGAAATGGCAAATGATATGACTTAGGAAATGGTTTTCCAAACATTGCATTAAAGTCAGCTTAATTGAATCCATCTTAATTTATTTACATTTTCACTGTACTCTGCCTTGCTTTTCCACTCTTAGGAAATGGAAGATGGAAATAGATAACAAAGCAAAAACAAAACATAAAACGGTTAAAATCTGGTTAAAACAGCACTTAAAATCATTATTAATTTGATGCATTAATTCACTTAATTAACCCAAATGAAATCATCTTTCATTTAGTCTAAAAGTCCAAGCTGAAGGGAAAGGTTTTGCCTTCTTTCTTAAAGACAGAGAAATTGGGGAATAAGCTTAACTCCCGAGGCAACTGTTCTTAGCTTGGAAAGAATACAAGGGAAATGCAGCTAACACAATTTAAGCCCATTTCCAATCTCTCCTAACTGTACTTAAGATTCAGTATATATAACTTTACTCAAAATTATTACATGCTGAGTTTATTAACAGTTACGTTCAGAATTGTGTTTCTCATTTTTCCAAAAAATGATTTGGAAAATAGTATCCTGGATCTTGCATAAACCAGAGTTCTTCACTTCTCTGTTCTTCATTAAAGCAGGCTATTTTTTCAGGCTTTCAGACACAACTTTTTCTTTGGTTGGCACAGGAACTTGAAAAATTATGGGCTGTTTTTATGAAGAGTAGAGAGGTGCTGGGCTCAGGCTTATTTTGAAGTATGAACAGTCCTAATTTATTTAGCGAATGTATCATAAATCCAACGCAGTGATCTTCATTGAAACAGACTAGAACTGAGACATCAAGTTCTAAATAGAAAATGCAACATTGTTTTTCCAATGACAGTGCAATAAAAACATCCTCACATATTCTGAACATAATGTTCACTGATTTGGGAACAAATTTAAGAAACTCAGTATTGAGAGCCACATAAAACACTTACAAAGAAACCAGAAGTCAAATACACTGGCCCCTAGGTCTTACATGAAACATATAGTCACTCTGTTACTGCAAGAAAAGAAAGTTGTTAATAACAGAATAACAGCGTTGGAAGGGGTCTTGGAGGTCTTCTAGTCCAACTCTCTGCTCAAGCAGGAGACCTTATACCATTCTGAACAAACGACTGTCCAATCTCTTCCTAAAACTCTTCAGTGATGGAGGACCAACAACTTCTGGAGGCAAGCCATTCTACTGATTAATTGTTCTCACTATCAGGAAATTTCTTCTAGAAATTAGTTCTAGATTAGATCTTTCCTTGATAAGTTTCTGTCTGTTACTTCTTGTCCTGCATTTGAGTGTTTCGAGGAATTGGTTACCCCCCTCTTCTTTGTGACAACCTCTAAATATTGGAAGACTGCTATTATGTGATCCTTAGTCTTTCTCTTCTTTAGACTAGACATACCTAGTACTTACAACCTTTCTTCAAATGTTTTAGCTTCCACTTCCTTCATCATCTTTGTTGATCTTTCTAGAATCTTAGCACCTTTTTTGTATCACAGTAACCAAAACTGGATGCAGTATCCCTAATATAGTCTTACCAGTGGGGTATAAAGCAGTATCACCACTTCTCATGATCTTGATTCAGCCCTTCCATTGATGCATTGGCTTTTTTTGGTAGCTCCAACACACTGTTGGCTCATATTTAAGTAATTGCCCAATAGGACTCCTAGATCCCTCTCAAAGTTACTGCTATTGCAATAGTACTGAATTGTTGTTGATTTTTTTTTTTTTTGCTTCATAATATTCAGTTCAGAATTCTAAAAGTGCTTATTGGTTGATTATGTACCATCAAGTCATTTTCAACTTTTTAGCAATCACATTTTTCATTCTACATTTGAGAAATATCAACCTTATGAAAGTCACTGTCCAAATACATTGAAAAATAGTTCCCTAGGCACTTACAGCTAGCTAAAAGCTCCTCTGGGTGGTCTAGTTGGATGTCGCTGTGATAACTGGTAAGGAATGGAAATTCACCAAGGTATCTTTTATAACTAGATAAGTACAAGAAACATTTTTTTTCTAATTACAGAATTAGCCAGTACAATCTGTGATTTCCTGCTTTAAAGAAGGAAATATGAAAAGAGAAAAAGCTCAGTCTTTTGAAATATAACATCTGGACCCGCTCTGAGAAGATGGAAATTTCTTGAAAGTCAAGGAGTGTCTGGAAACAAAACTGTTTTTCTTTGAGAAGAAATGAAAAATATCTTGCCCTAAGTCCAATGTCCTTCTTCAAGGACTAGAATATGAAAAGGCATTCTCTGGGAGAAGAGCCATCCATTTGCCTGAGAAAAAGTATTCATTTATGTAGAAAATTTATACAGCTGCTTACCGTAAATACATAATTCTGGGCAGTGAATATTCCATACAAAATGATATTTAAAAAAACTCAACCCCATAAACAGTTTAAATATTCCAATATAAGAAAAAAAAACATTCAGGGCAATATATAGCAATTTGATAAAAATAAAGACATGTATACAGGTAGTCCTTCATTCAACAATTTATGAATGAAGTTCAACGTTTGAAGTTATGACAATGCTGAAAAAGGAGACTTACCACCTTGAGGGCCTGGTTGCCACAGCACTCCTGCAGTCATGTGATTGCAATCTGGGTGCTTGGCCACCTCCTTGCACTCATGATCCCCATTTGTGACCTCCCCTGTCCGATTCTCACAAGCAAAGTCAATTGGGACACTGGCTGGGAAGTTTGCAAGTCCCTCTGATAGTCTCTCCCACCCTCCCCTGCCCGGCCCTACCTTTACCTGCCTGCTGGATTGCTTGCAAGCTGTCTGGGACTTGCTTAATGATCCACAATCCTCATTTAAAAGCAGCGATGGGAAGTGCAGGATTGCTTTTGCTAAGTGATGTGCTCATGTGACATCTCACTTTATGACTGTATTACTTAGCAGTGGAAATTCTGGTCCCAATTACCATAGTTAATTGAGGACTACTTGTATTGGGTCCCTTAACATCCTGACTAATGCTTGCCAGATTTTAGCAGCTTTCCAGAAGTCCAGGAGGGTTGTGAGTGTGACTTAGACCTTCATCTAAAGGTTGCTCAGATTGTTAGCTTAGGTTAGTAGAGCTCTTGCATTACTGCTGAATGTTCTTGTGGGATGTTCTGTTTTGCCACTACAGATAAGCATATCTAATCGGTTGCAGTTGTCTTGGTATCACAGGGCCTTTGATTGCATTGCTTGGGGAAAGAGGAGATGAGCTGGCTGCCACTGCTCATGAGATTCCTTTTTTTCTTTTCTTGGCAACCTATCCAAATGTTTAACAATTGAAGAAGCTAAAACGAAATCATGTGGATATGAACTGAGCAGGGCTTCTGTGTGCTCTGGAAAATAAGAATTCTCTGGCACTGACTCTTTTATATATTAGATATGCAACCTACTGCAACCAACAACAGAAGCTCCTCCATAAGTTTGTTGTCATCAGCATCTCTGGTCTATTAGCAGAATCTTTGAAGAGCACTGTTCTAATTTGACATGTGATAGTTCATGTTGTTCATTTGGCTGGTCAACAACAGAGTCTCATCTGTTTTTAATTTCTATTCAGTGTGGTTGATATATAAGTTCATGGGATGTCAGGCAGTGTGTTAGAGTCTCCTCATAAGGAAAGCACCAGTAATGGACTGTTTCCTCAAAAACAAAAAAGCTTTGGACTACTCATATTTACTTGCAACTGTAGTGGCTTCAGTCTAGGACAGGGGTAGGCAACCTCGGCTCTTTTATGACTCATGGACTTCAACTCCCAGAATTCCTGAATCAGCTATGCTGGGAGTTGAAGTCCATGAGTCATAAAAGAGCCGAGATTGTCTATCCCTGGTCTAGGAAGTATCTTGTAAGTACCTGGAAAAAGGAGACTGCCCTTCCCGCTTCTCTAGTGCATCCCTTAGTAATTCTTGATAAAGTGTTGAGTAGGCAGAATCATCCAGAATTTTGCTCAGATATCTCTGTCAGCAGAAAAAAATACCAGTGATCCAATGAAAAGAGCATATTTTATCTCCATTACTTTGAAGTGAAAGTAGAACATAGCCAAGGCAAGCCAGTTTAGTCTGATACTTGGGCAGATAATCCTACAGCTTCCATTACTTGCTTCAATATATTTTTGTTCTTTTATTAATTATAACATGCTTTGGGCCATGAGATAAGACATCATATTTAAGAGTAAAATCAAAGTTATTTAAACAGTATAACACAGGGATGAAAAAAATGAATCTCATCACCTTTCAAATGGATTAAGTACACTTAAAAACTCACCCTTAATTATGATCCTATTTCTATTATAAATCAGACCTTTGAAGATACTAAACTGCATAAATACTAATCTATTTTTTCTCAAAAAAAGGCCCTTGGCCCACTAGAGAGAATTAAAATTGCTCTATTTCTACTTTCCAGCTAGTTTCCTGCATTGACAAGAAGTATGAATCTTCCCACTATGACCAACACAGGACCTTGGTGTTTGTTGAAAGAAGGGCAGAAGCTCCATTTAGCTTCTCCAAAATTCCTGTATGGAATTCGGTATCACCTATAGTGACTAAGCAGTTGCAATACTAACAAACAGTCTTTTAAAAAAATGTATACAGAATTCCAAAAATAATAATTGTATAAAACAATTATTAGTAGATGCTGTTGTGGAAGGATCCCTCCCCTGGTACCTATTTACACTTTATAT